TTCTTCTAAACTAAGAACCCATCTATTTTTCCTTTCTTATAGTTGATCCACTTGGCTAATTGGAGGATTTAAGCTCCCAAAGTTGGAAGTCTCAAGTCTTAGGTCATGGAAAAGTTATTTCTTCTATTCTCCTCTTCTTGCTTTGAATTAACAAAGAGAACAAGGAAGCTTTGTGATTTGATTTGTTGTGTTTAATGCTTATTGTTATTGTTGAAATTCATCACTTACATGACTGAATTGGTAAAGATTGTGAATTTAAGTGTTGTTGAGAGGTGCTCTTGAAAATGAACTTTCTTGAGAAGATTGGTGAATTTGGTGTTTGATGGTTGCATGTTGTATCTTGAGTTAATTAGTTTGGTGTTGTTTCTGGTGTATATATATTATATGTTTTGTTGCATGCTATTTTGGCTAGTTGGGTTGTAGGTTTTGAGCCATTTGGTGATTCTGATATGGGAAAAATAAGCATCGCATTAGGCATACCTTCATTGCCCTCGAGCATGGCTCAAGTTAGGGGACTCTTTGCTCTGATCACGTCAAGCATAAGATTAGTAGTGTCGGACGTGGATTAGTGACGAGTTCTCTAGCTTAGTCACGTCGGGTATGGAATAAGTGGCATCGAGCGTGAGAAGTCAAAAATTCTTTGACTTGGTGATGTTGAGCCCTAGAGGTGTGGTTCCCAATATGATCAAGACAGTGGATCACTGTCTAAATGATGTCAGGCACAAGTTGAGTGGCATTAGGCATGAGTTAGGTAAAAACTCTACCTAATTGAGGCTGAACGTAGGTTTTTCCACACCAAGCCCAAGAAACTTAGAGAGTCTCTAACTCATTGTCGGAACCTCGCCTAAAAAAAGTAAATTTTAGGTTCTTTTAGATGGCTTGTTTGACTTCCATTTTTAAATCTCATCGACATTGGAATGCTCGATAACCTGAGTAAACCTCTGTCAATGGTTTTGAAAAAGATTCTTGGAGTCGCCATCAATATTTTGCTTCAAACATAAAAAAAAGAAATGGTTTTCAAAATTAGAGTTGAGTAAGGGGTCGATTACGTGTGGGGAAGGTGTTAGGTACCTCACAACACGTAAAATTAGTACCCTATGACGTATTTATTAACAAAGCAAAGCATAAATTAATATTTTTACCCCATAATTATGCATATACAATAACGAACTAGCTCCATTATGTTCTAAACTCAGGAAAGTGATAAATTAAAACAATAAATAGAGAGAGAGAGAGATTTTAGAACCTTCGAAACAAGCTTTTATATAAGAAGAAGAAGACTAAAGGTGCGTTGTGGCAACCTCCTCGCTCAACAAGAACCTCTCAATCACTTAAGAAAGGCTCCTAGACTACAAAAACTCTGAAATCTCTGCCAAAGGGACCAGAGATTTCTTAATCAAGCTCTCAATGAGTTTATTTTACTGAGAGTGCTCTGAAAAAATCAAAAATTAATATCATAAGAAATTCAAATCACCAAATAAATTGTCCTAATCTATCCCATAGTGTCACATATCCTAATCAAAGCTTCCCACCTAAGCATCATCATGGAATTCATCAGTGTCAGGCTGAAAGTCACTTGCACGCATAAAGGGCAACACCCGACCATGAGATGATGACATAGGAAGTCAGGGTCAATGCCTGGCATGTCCCCGGCACTCCATGCGAAAGCTGATATGTTGTTCTTCAGCACCATCACTAGACCTTCCTCGTCTTCCTTGCTCAGAGATACACCAATCTTGACGGTTTTCCCCTCGGCCAAGGTAACCTCCTTTACATCCTCGGCTGGGGCTGGTCGGGTATCGAAGTGACTTATTCTCGGATCTAACTCGATTGACTGAACACCCCGATCAACCTGTGTCACATATAGGTGTCGCCTCGCCCTCAGACTGTCTTCGTAACATTTCCTCGCCACGTCTTGATCGACACAGAACTCTCATCCTTTCTATCTCTTTTTGACTCAAGCTCTCATCCTTTCTGTAGATGGTTCCTAAAAATTGATTGTTCGGGGGTGGATGAACAACCTCCCCCTCCATGACAGAAATCTGGTGGTCACCAGAAAAATAGCAGAAAAAAAAATGTCGGGAAAACAGAAAGGTTGTCGGAAAGACGCCGGAAAGCTTGACAGCTTCAAGAGCCCAGCCAAGCTTGCTTAAAAAAAAAACTATGCGTTGCGGAAGCAGAGCTGCTTAGATTAGGAGCTCTGATACCATGTTAAAAGAGAGAAATAGGGAACTCATTTTCTGATTATGCTTGAGTGTATTACCAATCAGCAAAATGATCTTATTTATAATGATAGTGGTTACAAAGATAATAAATGACATCAACTATTTCTAAGACAACAATTAAAAATACCACAACTTCCTAAGATACATTGAACTAAGAAACTAGGAAGAGTAACAATCATTAAATACTCCTATTTCCAATAGTAACAATCATTATATACTCCTATTTCCAACAGTGTAGGTCAACAATTTGTTTTTCTAATAGGATTATGTTCTAATGAGGCAAATTAATTTCAACGTTTGGCTCAAAGAGGTAACAAGTTTTAAAAAATTTTAGGTTGGCTTTTTGGCTAGTGGCTAAACAATTTGAAAATGCCTTGATCATGTCCTAGCACACAAATGAAATCACACAATTACAAGATTAAAGCAAAACCATTTGAAAATGCGAGCATGCTATTTGTGGGTCTCTAAACTCATTGGCTAGGCTTTTTGAAAATGCAACACATCATGCCATCGCCATGCCACAATTTCCAGCCCTAGAGAAATAAACATAAGCATCAATAGTAGTTTCATCTCCACAATTTTCACAAATGATTATGTTTTTTATCGAATAGGTAGTCAATTACTAATTATCAAATTAAGGTTTTTTTCATATGAAATTCCCATACAACCCAACAATTAGGAAAAGAGTAAAGTGCGGCAGTACTTGAAATAAAAACAGATGCTGAAAAGATAATAAACTAAAATGCTAGAAAAAGAAAAGAAACGCTTGGCCATTTAGATTGGCCCTATGCATCATCCGCCTCCTTTGACTCCTCCTTGTCGTCTGAAGTGTCATCTAATGTGTCTGAAGCTCCACCTCCTTCATGGCTCGCGGCTTGCTAGTCCCCAAAGCCTACTGACCATGCGACTTGAGCTGCATAATTCTTAGGAGAAATGCAATGGTAGTGGTCCTAGACTCTAGTAGTCATGTGAAGTGAGAACCGTCGTAGGTCCTCCATGATGAGTCTGATTGCGAGATGGTTTGCAACAATGGCAGTCCAAATCTCTGCATCACCATTTGGTGCTCTTCAAAGAGCCCGTGGTACCCAAGGTGGTGGTAGTGCTCCTTTTGGCTTTCAAAACTTGTATATGTATTTGGGGTTGATTGCAAGTTGGATGGTGTTGTGAGTTGCATTGTGAGGGGTGTCTACCAGTATACCCTCTGCTCTACATAAGCCATGAATCAAAGCCAAGAAACCAAGGCAGCCCTTTTTAGCTTTTGCAAACTCATAGATCCTATGAGAAATGTAATGTAATTCCCTATGTCAATGGTTTTACGTGTCATTATAGCATAAATGAAGTAGGCCATGGTGGCTACAATGTTAGACATGTGCATGTGTAGGGCTACATTGGCCAAGATGAAGGTTGTCTAGGCTTTGAGTAAAAGTCTTGAGGTAGGACGTCTGGAGGTGTATTGGAATGTTCTGTTTAAGCCCTGACAGCTCATCCACAACCAGGTGCACACAGGAATTCCTGTATCATTGTGTAAGAACTGGGATGTAGACAGTGGCACCCAAGTACTCGTTGGTAATAGTACCATCATAATCAATGGGTACCCCCTCAACCTTGCTCTGTTGATGATGTGGAACTCCGTCTGGAATGTAGGCATTGACATAGAATTGCCAAACACCTGGTATGCTGAATTTTTGGTCTGGTTCTGCTAGAATGAAGCAACTTACTCAAGAGTTAAAGTTCTGTGAAATTCAGCAAATGAAGCTGTGTTGTAATAACCAGGCAACTCTTCATGTTGTATCTAATCCAGTGTTTCATGAAAGAACTAAACATATTGAGACTGTCATTTTGTTTGAAAGAAGCTGCTGTCCAAGGAGATTTGTACCAAATTCATCAGTTCAAATGACTAGATTGTGAATAGCCAGATTCTTAACCGTGTCTTTGAAAGGGCGTCGTATTCAGTCCATATGTTCCAATCTTGGAGCATACAATTTAGTTGTTCCAGCTTGAGGGGGAGTGTTAGAATATTATATTTTGTATTATCATTATCTGCCCCGTGTAAAAGCTGTTTTTATCTTATCTCTGTTATGGCTGGCTGTCATAGCCTCATAGGGATCAGACTTTCCCTTTTTTTGTATGACGTACATCTGTTCTCTGAAATATAATTAATAATACATATTTGAAGCTGAGTGCAGTAGTGAAACTCATTCAGACTTTCCCCTTGTCAAACTTCTTTTTTTTCTCTCAAGTTGTGAAAGAGAGAATGAGAAACTGTAAATTCTGATAAATTTTGCAGAGAATATATGGTAACAACTGCTACCTCAACAGTTGGTCAGATGATAGTGACTAATGTAATTGAATCACAGAAAACTAATCCTTAATACATACGGGAAGCTAGCAGAACCAAGGGCTGGCAGAGAGCTATTACATGAAGACACTTTGATATGCTCTAACAAACATAAATAACCCTAATAAGAAAAAATTAAAAGTTTTAACTTTTTTGTTTCATATATATAAATATGAATGTGTATTTTAAAACAATACGATTAATTTTTCAAAATTTTAATAAGAAATTTTTATAACATGTTGATAGAGTGATAAGTTACAAAGACACTGAGAAAAATGTATAAATTATTAGAGAAATTTTTGTTACATCAATTCAGTGAATTTTATATATTATATCCTATTTTAATTTTCCATCAAACTTGGTCTACAATTTTATAAGGGAATTCTATATATTACTTTCCATCAATTCAGTGTACTTTCTCTTGATTTATTTTGCAGTGAATTTGGCATATGGATACTGGTTCAAGGGGCGTTTTTATGCATCTCTAAACTCTCTGGTATGAATGTTGTGGTTTTATGTTTTCAGTGCCAGAATTAGTTTCTTAAACCAGTCTTTCACATTAAAATTGATATTTTAAAGAAAAAAGTTCAACTTCTTATCAAGTCTATGATAGGTACCTGTTTCAGAAAAAGAATTTAAAGGAAATAGTTGCTAGAAATAATAAAGGAAAATCTCAACAAATAATATTTCCAACAAGAGTGTTCGTATGGAGTGGATAAACTTCCACAAGATTACATTAATTTACTGAAAAAATTACTTTCACTTCTCCTAAACAATGCAATTGTTGTATTGGTAATGAAATCAAGAGAAATATTCTCTCAAATCTGGTTTGGTATAGGCAATGACTATAGAATACCTGCTGCTGCTGCTAAGGCTTGGTATTTGGATTGTTGACAAGTCAAGAAATTTTGATCCCCCAATTCCACCTCTTGTTTCTATTTAGGCCAGAAGAAAGTGGCTGCAAGCCATTTCAGTGTCTTTAAATAGCCTCCATGTCTGTGTGTGGGATTGTTGTGGGATTCGGTAAGTAGTTTTTCCTTAAGAAAAGGAAGATTAGGAATCACTAAATGCTTTTCTAAAATAAAGCCTGTTATTTGCTATGTGGAAATTTGGATGGGACGCTGGATCCTCAGACAAATCAGTCAAGGTACCCATTATGTATGGAAAAAGCTATGAATAGAAGGCAAAGTATGCAGATAACCTTAAGAGGCTTGGTTTTCTCCCACCCCTTCACACTTTTCTTGAATTCTCTCTCTCTATTCTTTTATATCTGTAACAATCCCAAACAAATACCCCTCTCCCACACCTCTGCCACGTTTGCAGTTTGTTATCATTGGTTACATCTGCTTTCCTTGCCCACTTGGGCTTCAGCCTCTAAAGCTCTTTTTTTTTTTTTTTTTTTTTAACATACACCTTAGTGATAGGAGGTTTGCTGACAACATTGATGCTGCTTGAGGTGGATAATTTAGTGTCATTAGTGAAAGTGCTATCAGTTATGGAATTGGAGATGCTACTTGGCTTTTAATTGCTACTTTCCAATTTTGTGATGGTAAATATTGGCATTTATAGAGACAAACTCAATGCCCTAGATTTGAATTTCCATGTGTGGCGTCTCTTGCACATCTTAATGACTCCTCCTTTTTCATATGCTGAAATGTTCAATTGATAGCTTATAATTTGATAAAAGGTATTTAGTAATTAACTTCTTAAACATATAACTATATGGAACTTCTTAGAGTTAACTTATTTTAGTAAAGGAAAATTAGAAAGAAAGGAGTGGTCATAGTATTCAATAGCGGGCGGAGCGGCCGCTATCGCGGCGCTCTGAAGCAGAGCGGCCCGACCCCGCAATTTTGATGCTGTTGCGTCGCAGATGTGTGTCGCGGCTGGAGCGGCCAAAAACTACGGAATCGCGGCGCATCTTGGACAGACCTTTCATTAAGGGTAAGTCTGTCTTTTCAGTTGGGCTTTTTTTGCCCTAATTCTTCCTCTCCCTCTCGCGGAACCACTCGTTTTCTCATGTCTCGCACTCCCTCGCCTCTCTCTCTCTTGGAAAATTGATTCTTCTCTCTCGAGGACGACCGTCGACGCACTCCAGTTCCGACGCTCTTCCAGTCCCGCGACGCACTCTAGTTCCGAGGCAGTCCTCCAGCTCTGACGCTCCTCTAGCTCCGACGCGCCTACGCCCATTGTTTGTCTTCTTTTGTCTTCTCTGTTTCTATTTTATAATTCAACAGAATTTTTTTTAATTTCTCATTAAATTTAATTAAGCAGATTTTTTTTTTAATTCCTGAATAAATTTAATTTAGCAGATTTTATTTTTAATTTCTGATTAAATTTAATTCAGTAATTTTTTACTTTCTGATTAAATTTAATTCAGCAGATTTTATTTTTAATTTCTGATTAAATTTAATTCAGCAGATTTTACTTTTAATTTCTGATTAAATTTAATTCAGCAGATTTTTTTTTAATTTCTGATTAAATTTAATTCAGAAGATTTTTTTTTTAATTTCTGATTAAATTTCATTGAGCATATTTTTTTTTAAAAATTTCTGATTAAATTTAATTCAGCAGCTTTTTTTATATTTTTATTTTTATTTTTGATTAATTCAGCCGCTTCTCTATTTCTAATTCAGCAGCTTTTTTTTTTTTTTTAATTTCTGATTCTATTATCTTTTTATTAGGCTGTTTTTGTCTTTGATAATCATTGTAATCATGAGCCGAGGAACTGAAACTAATCCCAATTAAGTTCCCACTCCCAGAACAGAAATGTTTAAGCCCATTGGTGACAATATTGATGTCTTTTGGAAGTGGAACAACTTAAAAGACAAAAATAATAGGAAGAGTGTCACGTGTGATTTTTGCCTAAAAACATCTACAGGAGGAATTACTAGAGCAAAAAAACATCAACTTGGAATAAAAGGCGATGTAGGTGCTTTTAGAAAAATTCCTGAGGATCTAAAATTGGAAATGAAAAGGCTGCCTATGAGAGTTAAAAAATTGCCTTAGAAGTATATATGGAGTGTGTAGATGAAAATGAAGAGGAGAATAAAAGGCGATGTAGGTGCACTCTCACAAAATCCTGTTTTACATTCACGATCCAAGCATATGGAGCTTGATATCTTCTTTTTTGGTGAAAAGGTGCTTAACAAGTCCCTCGTTGTTTTGCATATTCCTACCCAACATCAGTTTGCTAATGTTCTGACCAAGGCCTTGTCTCCCAAGAGATTTCTTCTTCGCTCCAAGCTCAATGTTGCTGATCCATCTACTATGTTTCATCCCCCTTGAGCTTGTAGGGGGTGTATTAGAGAAGAGAATAGGATAATAAATCCTTTTATTTGTTGTATTATTTACATGTATTCAAATGTATTTTTCTGCTTGTATTTGCTAACACTTTAGGTTAGTTAGTCTTATTGGCTTACTAACTCTTGAGTTAGTTAAGTCCGTTAGGTCTATATATGTAGGTGATACCTCTCGTGTATCACTTTATCAAATTCTCTTTGATTCAATAATATTGTCCTTAAGAAATCCTCTTTCAATTCTTTCTCTCATAAAGTAGAGGAAGAAGAAGAATATAATTCTAATGCTAGTGGGGGTGATGAATTTGAGGGAGAGGAAGACTTTAATCTTGATGAGGAAGAAGATTAAACTATAAGTTTAATTTTTTACTTACTTAGAGCTTTAGCACTTTGTTTTGAAGACATTTTATATTATGTATTATTTGAGTACTATGAATTTTTAATTATTAAAAATGTTTAATGCATGAATTTGGAGTTATTTTTTTTATTTTTTTAGCTTTTATATATATATTATTAATTATTTAATATATATAAAGTAATATTAAAATAGAGGTTATCCCGCTCCTTGTCATCTCGCTATCCCATTTTTAGGGTTGACCGCTTCGCTCCGCTATCCGGGATTGACTACTATGGGAGTGGTAAAGATACAATTATGGTGATAATATTCTGTTGGAATACAAGCAAAGTTTCACATCTTCCAAACAAAAGGATGGATATGGGTTTATATACACACGATTGTCTGCATTGGTAGAGAGGCCTTTTGAGTGGTATCCAAAAGCAAAGCTGTGAGGGTTGGGTCCAAAATAGACAATATTTAACTAATATGAAGACATGTGTATGTGTGTGGTAACCCCCAGTGCACAACAAAAGGGGTTTATTCTCACAAGATCTTGTTGTGTATCAGGGGTTACCACACACATACACATGTCTCCACATTGGTAAGATATTGTCCGATTTGAGCCCAGTTCTCACGATTTTTCTTTTGGATACCACCCAAAAGACCTTTCTACCAATGGAGACAATCGTCTATATATAAACCCATGTCCATTAGGGGTGTTCATGGATCGGTTTTTTGAAAAAATCCGAATCGAACCGGTTTATAAAAGTGGATTGGTTGACCGATCCATTTTTTATAAAGTGGATCGGTTTGGTGCGGTGCGGTTATCCATTTTTTACTCATATATGGATTGGTTTTTTTAGAAAACCGAACCAAACCAAACCGATCCATTTTGTAAAAAAGATATATGAAGTGTATAAGAATACCCGCCCTTTTTTTTTCTATTGAAATGAAAAAAAAAGCTTACACCTTCTGTCACATACGATAAAAATCTTGAGACAAATTGCAACCATTAACTATTAATTTATGAATGATTCTTGAATATTTGAATCTAGAATGGTTTTGTAAAAATGGATATGATATTTGAACCAGTTTCATAAAGTGGATCGGTTCGGATTTTTTTTCAAAATGGATTGGATTTTTCAATGCGGATCTGATCAGTTATGGATCGATTCGGATCAATTTATATTTTTTGCACACCCCTAATGTCCATTCTATTGTTTGAATGATATGGAACTTTGCTTGCATTCCAACCTGTACTTGGTCCATTTTGACCAAAAATGAAGGAACATTTTTTAATATTTTATGGGTGAAAAAGTGGACTGTACATGGCAATTACTTGTTTTTGGAAACTTCAAAGGGCAAGAATACCTTGTGAGAATATATCTATATATTCTTGCCCCTAATCAACTTTGAAAGGAAAACTCATGAGCTTCTGCAGAAGGTTGTTAAAGTAGTGTAATTTATGGTGTGATGACAGTAGTGCAATGTCTCTGGGTAGTGCATTCCATTCCTGAAATATTTTTTTAAACTTGAACTAGATGTGGGGATTTTTCAATGTGCATAGACATTCGGGAAACATTCTTTAATTCAAGTGATCAAGCTTTTATAGTATGTTAAATAGCTCACTACTATATCATTTATGTCATTTTTTTTAATTCAAAATCATTGAAATTAGTGTATTTTTTTTTGGGGTACATAATTTAGCATCATTTTGTTGTCAATTTGAAATTAAATCATTTTGTGGAAGTGATAATATTTTTTTATATTAGTTCTAATTCAATACCTTTGCATATATACACATACACATAGTGAGATGGGGGAGGTGACTAACCATTTTATGGTTGATGTCTAAAATGGTTTTTGGAATTTGTTGGCTCTTTTAATTATTAATATCATAGTATGTTTGATATCTTCGCCTCTTCTGAAATAATTTCTTGGCACTTTTGAATTATCAGATTTTTGCTACAACTGTATTCAGATGTGACATGCTGTTACTTCTTTGTCCCATTGGGCTGCAACTTCTTTTGGTACGTTGTGCTTTTCTGTAACTTGCTTATCATTTGTTATTGTTAAAAGAGAGAAATAGGGAACACATTTTCTGAATATGCTTGAGTGTATTTTTCCACTCAGCACAATGATCTTATTTATAATGATAGTGGTTACAAAGATAATAAATGACATCAACTATTTCCAAGACAACAACTAAAAATACCACAACTTCCTAAGATACAATGAACAAAGAAACTAGGAAGAGTAATAATCATTAAATACTCCTATTTCCAACACCCCCCCTCAAGCTGGAGAATAAATATTTTCCATTCCCAGCTTGCATATTATTCTCTCAAAATCTGGACAGCGCAAGCCTTTAGTAAGAATATCTGCAAGTTGTCTTTGTGAAGGTACATATGGAGTACAAATCAAACCACTATCAAGCTTTTCTTTGATAAAATGCCTATCCACTTCAATGTGTTTGGTTCGATCATGTTGAACAGGATTATGAGCTATGTTGATTGCTGACTTATTATCACAATAGAGTTTCATTGGTCCATCCCATGTAATCTTCAAGTCTTCTAGGATAATTTTCAACCATAGTAGTTCACAAATACCTTGTGCCATAGCCCGAAATTCAGCTTCAGCACTAGATCTAGCAACAACATTTTGCTTTTTACTTCTCCATGTTACTAAGTTTCCCCCAAGAAATGTGCAATATCCCGTAGTAGATCTCTTATCAATAATTGATCCTGCATAGTCAGCATCAGTGTAGGCTTCAAGACTTGTATTTCCATTTCTTTTATATAAAATTCCTCTTCCTGGAGTCCCCTTGAGGTACTGCAGAATTCTGTATATGGCATGCAAATGAACTTCTCTCGGACAATGCATAAATTGGCTGACCAAACTTACAGCAAATGCAATATCTGGCCTTGTGTGAGACAAGTAAATTAATTTTCCAACCAAACGTTGATACATCTCCTTATCCACTGTTGCACTCTCGTCTGAGTTTCCTAATTTGAGATTTGTGTCCATGGGAGTTGTTAGATATAGTTTTATCTTATAGTTTTATCTTATGGTTTTATCTTATAGTTTTATCTTATGGGCCTAGGCCCACTACTTTGTATTTAAACACATCTTTTACTTTACAATACACAAGGAATATGTTCTCTCCATTCACCATTACTCTCAACATGGTATCTAGAGCCTAATCCTTGACCTCCCGGTGGACCCACTGTTCATCGGTACCCAGAAAACGTGTCTCATTCCGTTTTCCGGCTACCCACCTCGTCGTACTTCTTTCCGGCCGTTTTTTCTCTATTCTTCCGGCATTTTTCTTCACTGCCGCCGCCGTCCACCGCCGCCGCCGTCGACCCACCCACCCTGGTCGCCTTGCTCTGGCGACTCCAACGCCACCAGTCGCGTGGCGAACGGAGATCGCACGCGCCCTCACGCGCCGATCTCGTTCTCGCGCCCTTTCTCTCTCCTCCCCGCCGGCCGCCGTGCGTGGCGGCGCGTCCGGCCACCTTTCCGGCAGCGACCACCGCCGCCGGGCTCGCCCCGGCCTCCTCTACCCCGATCTACTATTTGTTTTGTGATCGGACCTCGTTTGTCACGGATCTCTTCCTTCTCGGGCCGTTTTTCTCTCTCCTGTTACTGTTTCTCTCTCCTGTTACAGCTCTCTTCAATGACTTCCTTAAATGGTATGAAGAACGTCAAGCTTCCAATTCCACTGCTTCTGTTGCGCACACAGGCCCTTCGTTTGTTGGTCTCACTCACTCCACCTCTCTTGGCCCTTGGGTCCTAGATTCTGGTGCTACCAATCATATTTCTGGTAATCGGTCTCTTTTCTCATCTCTTTCTACCTCTGCTTATTTACCCTCTATCACTATGGCTAATGGTTCTCGCGCCACATCTCATGGTGTTGGTACTGTCCATCTTTCTCCTTCTCTCTCCATTGACAATGTCCTTTATGTCCCAGAGTCACCCTTTAATTTATTATCCCTTAGTCATCTTACTCGTTCTCTTGATTGCCTTATTTCTTTTACTAAAGATTCTATCTTCTTACAGGACCGGAGTTCGGGACGGATGATTGGCACCGGATGTGAGTCTCATGGCCTTTATCACCTACGCATGCTCGTATTGGTTTGGTGGCGGATTCCCCTTCCCTCATCCATGCTCAAGTTGAGTTTACTTGAGCTCAGCCTCTCTAAGATGAATGAGGATTGGTGGTTTCTGTCAACTGTTAAGTATTTCTACGCGGCCTCTCTAGGTCTACAAAAGGGGTGAGTATTCTACGCGGCCTATAGTTTAAAACAGTTTTACACTATCTATTTTGTAACACCCGAATTTTCTACTAATAGGCTATTAATTATTATTTATTTTTATATTTATGAAGATTATTATTTTAGTTAATTAAAAGGGGCTTTACATCTAGGCCTACAAAGGGGTGGGTATTTCTATATGGCTTCTCCAGGCCTACAAAGTTGAGTATTACTTGAACTTAGCCTCTCTAGACTGGATGAGGATTGGTAGTTCCTATCGACCGTTGAGTATTTTTGCACGGCCTCTCTAGGCCTAAAAAAGGGTGAGTATTTCTACACAACCTCTTCAAGCCTACAAAGTTGAGTATTATACTTGAGATCAGCCTCTCTACGCTGAATAAGGATTGGCGGTTCTTGTTGACCGTTAAGTATCTCTAAACAACCTCTCCAGGCCTATAAAGTTGAGTTTACTTGAGCTCAGCCTCTCTAAGATGAATGAGGATTGGTGGTTTCTGTCAACTGTTAAGTATTTCTACGCGGCCTCTCTAGGTCTACAAAAGGGGTGAGTATTCTACGCGGCCTCTCCAGGCCTACAAAGTTTAGTATTACTTGAGCTCAACCTCTCTAGACTGGAAGAGGATTGACAATTCCTGTCGACCATTGAGTATTTTTGTGCAACCTCTCCAGGCCTAAAAATGGTTTTGCTTAACCATAATGCCTCTTGCTTTAGGTAAAGGAGTCCAACAAGGATGATGGTCTAAGACTTTACCCTTTATTGGGAAGGATCCTAGCTGACCCATTGGGGAAGGAGTGCTTTTTGTGAGTTCTGCTGAACTAAGAAATCAATGCTGAAGATGCCTCTTGACCTTAGGCGAGTGAGTCCAACAAGGACGATGTTCTACAAGTATCCCCTTGGTTGGGAAAAATTCTGGCTACTCCGACGGGGATATGTTTTAATGAGCTCTGCTAAGCTAAGCATTTGATACTAAAAATGCCTCTTGACTTTAGGTGGGAAAGTCCAACAAGGACAATAATCTGAGAGTTGCCTCTTTGCTAGGCGAAAATCTTGATTGAGAACAACTCTGTTAGGGGTAAATTGCTTCTTTAAGCTTTCTTGCCTCTTGATAGGCGTTTATCTAACAAGGACATGTAATTATCAGATATAAGTATTATTGATAAGGCCTCTTCAAGCTTGATTCCTACTGGGGATGCTTTCGGTGGTCAAGTATTTTTTGCCTAAAGCCTTTTCAGGATTGGTATAAATCTTTGAGGAGATGGTAACCCTTGTTGGATTTTTGACAAACAATGCCATTGGGGAACTGAACCCATATTGTTTGGGACGATGACAAACAATGTCAAACACTTGACGAACAACGTCATCGGAGAGATTTATATGCCCTAAGTACTTACTGTACTGGCTCCTTGCTAGGCGATTACCTGTTTGGGGATTATCATGCTTTGAGCTTACTTAGTCCTCTAGGGAGATTTTTCGGTGTTATGCCACTGAGAAGGCTATGTTTTAGCCAAATTCGCTAGGAGGTGGGCTTGACTGTCTAGTAGCCTTCTTGGCTGGTATATCTCTGTTTTCCTTGTGGAATGAGATCAATCTATGCCTCTAGTTTTGGATCTTTGTTATCCAATAGCCTGGTCGGCCATTAGTCTTGTGAGACTCTGTGTTGATCTTTGTTTATTGTTTATGACAGCAAACTGAATTTTATTTTTCTAAGCTTCAACTTTTTCTACATGATGAAGCTTAGCCTTTTGTTGTTTATTTTTTCCTTTCTCTTCACTAATTTATTTTTGGATTTTTCTTGCAGTCGCTAATGGTGAAGAGATCCCCTATCCACAATGATAGTGTTTGCTAAAGCATTATTAATGAGTATTGGAGTCATTCTTGGCTTTGGTGTTCTGTAAGCCATCTCTAGCCTTGGCATTCTCTTGAATCATCATTGATTCAACTGAAGACAGAACCTCCTAGGTTCGAAGCTTGACCTATGTCATTATGACGTCTCTCTTTGGGAAAGTAAATGCTTGGTTCTTGGTTGTTTGACCCTTGGTTCTTGGTCACTTATCTCGCTTTAGAAGCTTCCTATCTTCGGATTCTCATCTCGGAAAAAAATTGGCGTATTCTACGCGGCCTCTCCAGGCCTACAAAGTTTAGTATTACTTGAGCTCAACCTCTCTAGACTGGAAGAGGATTGACAATTCCTGTCGACCATTGAGTATTTTTGTGCAACCTCTCCAGGCCTAAAAATTCCTTTTCTCCTACACCTGTCCTTGCCCCTTCACCCTTACCTCTTGTCTTGGATACTCCTCTTGTGTCTGCTGTGTCACCCGACCCACCACCTCTACCTCCACTTCAAGTTTATCATCGTCGGCAACGCTCTAGCCTTCCCATTGGACCCCCACCCGACTCTACTTCGGTGCCACCTCCTTCATCTCCTCTGGCCCAACCACTTGAGTCTGACCTCCCTATTGCCCTTTGGAAAGGTAACCGTTCTACTCGTAATCCTTCCCCTCACTATATTACTCTGAATTATCATCGGTTATCCCCTCCCAATATACTTGTCTCTCTTCTCTTTCCTCTGTGTCTATTCCTAAAAATGTAGGTGATGCCTTGGCCTACCCTGGTTGGAGACAAGCCATGCTTGATGAACTGTGTGCTCTTCAGAACAATGGTACTTGGGATCTTGTTTCTTTGCCTCCTGGGAAGTCTGTGGTTGGATGTCGATGGATCTTCACAGTCAACGTTGGTCCTGATGGCACCATTGATCGACTCAAAGCTCGTTTGGTCGCCAAAGGTTATACTCAAATTTTTGGATTAGACTATGGTGACACTTTCTCCCCTGTTGCCAAGATGACCTCTGTCAGATTATTCTTAGCCATGGCTGCTCTTCGCCGTTGGCCTCTCTATCAACTGGATGTTAAAAAT